TTTGCATTATCCCTGGACTGGACACTGACTGATTTAACTGTGAATGTTTGGACTGTGCTTGTTTGGACTTTGCTTAAATGTTTATTGGAAGTAAAAACCTACATTTACTGTACAGTGTATCTGTGTGCTGTTTGTGTGTTATTCTTCACCACTCTCACTACGTCTCCCTGTATGCGCTCATTCTCCTAACAGGGAATTACCTCAACAATAATCACATTAAAGACACATCATCCTCTCTTTCACAATCCATTACAGATCAATATTTTTTGATGGCTCATCACTGATATGGTTCACCCTTAGTGTTGTCCCTTTGGGGGTCAGGTAGAATTTTAACATGATCTACTAGCTTCCAATATAAATCGAAAGGGAGATGGATGGTTAAGAAATATGAAATATAAATAAATAAGTAAATATATAAATGTCTTCAGACTAGCTCCATACTTAAACAGGCACATTATACAGAGAAGTAGCAGTAAAATTAAATAGTGTTGAAGAGCAGAGAAATGCCAGCAGCAATAAAGGTACCACTTTCCTCCACTATTAAAGCGCCTATCTGGTCAATTTCCAGTTGAGGTTCAGGTGCCTTGTGACTATTTCTGTCTGTCTTGGTGCCTCCTACATGCTAAGCTCCTGGGTAAAATGGTTCAGAAAAGAATCCTACATTTGGAGTCTCTTTGCTTCGTTCATATCTCAAAAGTGTTTTTCTGTTTTCTTGGAATTTAAGGGCAACTATAAATTAACCTTAAATAGAGACAAACTTATCTCACATACATCCTGCCAGATTTCTGAAATTGTAAATGGTTACTGATTAAGAATAGTCGCACTTCCACCTTTCACCCTCTAGTACACCCCCACCCCCAACAAATCTTTCATGGAAGTTTGCAGCAAAAATGAAACTTTAATCAAGTTATGAACTGGTAGTGACTAAGCGCAATTACGCTGAACAGATATCAAATTCATTTTCATGTTCAGTTTTGCTCTGCATGAGATAAATACTCTTTTATGGGAATTATGCTACTCGGGTTTGTAATTTCAGATTATGAATATATTGAAAAGGAATGGGAAAACTATAATTGTTTCCATATCTAAAGAGTAACAACTATGTGGGAAAGATTTTCCTGGCTGCTCCTTGTGAACGGCATTGAACTGTGTATTATTAATATATTATTGCGCTTGGTTTATTTTTCACACAGGCAGGCATACATGTTGAATAGATGAAAATCATGTTTTAAATGATCTAGAATTTAAAGCCTTTTCTAAGAAAGTGTTAGGGTCCATTCAGGGTGGGTAGAATATATTAGCAATAGCACTTAGACTTATATACTGCTTTATAATGCTTCACAGCCCTCTCAAAGTGGTTTACAGAGTCGCATATTGCCCCCAACAATCTGGGTCCTCATTTTACCCACCTCAGAAGGTTGGAATTGCTCCTTATCTGCCTAGATTGGCAGTATACCTTTTTAGACAATTGAAATATATGGAGAACAACTATAATATCAGTTATTGACTGTATATAGGTATGTATGTATTTAGTTATTTAAACATTTTTATGGTTGACAAAATCAGAAATGAGGAGGTGATAAGCCAAGGGAAATAATCAAAACCATAAAAAGTGAAAGTTAGAATATTTTGGACATGTGATGCGACACCCAGAAAAATACTGCATACTTCATTTATTCCTCTGAGGAAAGATTGAAGGCAAATGAAGTCCAGGCAGAAGAAGAACATCAATATCTAAGGGACTGGTTTGGACAAAACTCAACAGCACTTTCTCATGCGGTTGTTATAAAAACATGATCGCCAATGTCCGATGATGAATATGGAAGAAGGAGAAGAAGGAGGAGGAGGAGGAGGAGGAGGAGGAG